CAAGTGATGATGATAAAATTGCAGGGGTGTCGCTGGGAGTGCGCAGTGAAGACCCCACTTCTGAAGAACTGCGTCCTGGCTGTGGATCGCGGTGCGTAAATYACCACAGCTCTTAATACAATAAAGGAGTATACCGAAAAGAAAAAGAAAATGCCACTTTCCTCGGAGGAAACCTGGAGCACTGCATGGCCGCTGCCTGCTATGTTAACTGATGCCTTCTTGTTTTTCATTTCCATTCTTCCGCCTCTCTGGATCTGTAGTGTTAGTCTGAAAAGTAAACCTTACCTGCAAGCTTCTTCTGTGCAGGAATCTTAATTCGTTCTCTATTTTTTGCACAACACCAAGCCCAGTTTGAGCCCTGACTCATAAGCAGGACTCTGAATCCTATAATCTTATGAGTCTATCTTGCTCCCAGCAGCATTAATGGCGAAACTCACCCCATTTCCCCTGGCTGAGAGATGACACTGCAGTGATGCTGCGAGCAGAGCGCAGCAGTGGAGAGGAGCGCAGGTGAGGACGGCGCCGCTCCGCGCGCGGCCGAGCCCGGAAGGTGCCTGCGCTGCTGCTTCTGGCAGGGTCACGCTTGTAACATCTGGCTGTGAAGGCTGGAGCGCTCAGCCAGCTCCCTGCAATAACAGGCCGTGCTCACGGGGAGCGAGCGGAGCTGCACATTCCTGCAGCTCGCCCAGAGCTCTTGGAAGGGTCACGAGGAGGAATGTCAGGGAAAGAGGGAAGGGCCTGGGGCTGCTAGCGCCAGAGCTGCTCAATCTGGCTTCAATTGCCTCCTCCTCCACCTTCTTTTTCTTCTCCCCTTCCTTTTCTTCTTTTTTCTTTGTCTTYTTCTCCCTTACCCCTCTTTGGGTGCTGTGAAACCCAGCTGGTGTGTGAGTTGTGTCCCACGATGGCAGGGCGTGCGGGTCAGAGCCCCAAGAGCACCAGCAAACGCTGCTCCTGCAAACGCAGCTCCTGCACCGTGCAGCTCCAGCCCTCTCCCTTCCCAAAGCCTTGGTGCAGACTCAGTGCCCAGATTCCTGCCAGCAAGATGCTCGGGAGTCAGGGATGCTCAGGAGCCGGGGATGCTCAGGAAGCAGGGAGCGCTCCGCGGGTCTGCTGGGTGCCCGGGCAGCCCCGATCGCTGGGGCTGGTAGAAGACCCGTGGCGAGGGCCGCGGGGGACGCTGCGAGCGGGGGTGCTGGCGCCCGCACGCTGTCCCGCGGGCGGCCTGACCGCGGGAGGGCTGGCTGGCCCCGCAGCGCAGCGCAGCTCCCTGCACCGAGCTGCGGAGAGGAGAGCGCACGAGTCAATATTCATCAATATTCATGATCCGGATGCTCCAGTGCTGTGGTGCTCATTATGGAGGCATGACCTCGAAAACTGCACTTGATGGAGAACACAGCAGTCCATGTGCTGGGCAGCCGGGTGCCGGGGCCTCCGCAGCGCCCTGCCCCGCTTGTCGCACTGCTCCCCGCGTGCGTGCGGGTGGGAGGGCTCCGGCTTCACCTCCGGATCCTCTGCGGGGCCTCTCGGGGCACCGTGCGGGCGGCAGCCCCGCAAGGGCCGGAGTGCCAGGGCCGGGGTGCCAGGGCCGGGGTGCTGGGGGAAGAGCGCGGTGCAGCTGGAAGCCAAGGGCTTCCTGCAGCCGCCAGCCTGGCACAGGSTTGCGGGGACCAACCAAACCCCTCCCCGCGTGCACAGAGCCCGAGGGAGCCCAGGAGGCCTCGTGGAGGAGCGTCCCGCGCGGCCCTGCACGGCAGCCCTCTCCTTTGCTTCTCTGCCAGCCGCTTTGTTCTCAACTGACTCAGAAAAACCAATGAGTGAGAACTGTTCATTGTCACTTAACCCCTTCAAATACACAGTGACCAGGAAGGAGGAAGCAATGTTAAATTTTCTGTCCGTATGAAAATTCCTTCTGTTTCCTCCTGCAGACACCTCGGCGAGCCTGCTGCCCAGCAGCACTGCTTCTCTAAAGGAAACGTGTCTTTCTTCTAAGCAATTAAACACTATAAAAAAGGACATTTTCTTCATCATACTTTCCCATCTCCCCTTTCCTGGATGGCAATCCCATACTCCAGATCTCATGCTGTGAGGGATATTCTGCCACCGGTCACATCTGGTTCCCTGATGAGATCCGCAGGCGGCCGAGCTGGCGCGTTCCGAGTCACGTGAGGCGTCTAGGTTGCCTTATCTTCCCAAGGACCGACACTTTTTAATCCCCTTTGAAGCTATTTCTACCATTTTTTGCAGCACTTTTATCAGTTTGAGACTAAACTGTTGCACGAATGCYCATGAGATCAATCTGCTGATCTTAAACATGGTAAAAAGAGGCGTTTCTCCACGCAATCTGTTGGAGAGATTTTGCACCGACTTCTAGACGAGCCACATACTGGTACACATTCCTTTAGCATTAATGCTTCCTCTGGGACTGGAACCTTGCAGAAATATGAGCGCTGCGCATGCAGGCTGCAGACGCGCCGGGCAGGCGAGCCCGCGCTGCAGCTCGCCGGGGAGAGCAAAGCGCCGTCCCRCCGCGGCGCAACGCTGCGCCTCGCCAAAGCCTCTCCAGTAGCCTTCACTGCAGGGAACACGATTCTTCTTTTCTGGAGATAACTTTTAGTAGAGGTCTCCACAGTATATGCTGTTAAGAATAAAAAAATAACAAATAAGTCAGTAGGCATATATTAAGTCAGTAAGGCCAGGATTTTATCAATAATGGATTAAGGATGAAGGATACTGTGACAGTTGCATTTAGCACTCGGAATAAAGCAAATCGATCAGATTGACTGTATGCTGATTTGAAGTCCTTATGGAATTGGGTCGAGATCATCCTGGTTTCCCAGAAATGGTCTCCTTGCCTGGGATCTTTGTACCCTCCAGAAATAGAGAAGTTTTCCAATTTAATTTGCTCAGCCCGCACTGACTCGGTGCATTTACTTGTTGTGCTTGGTTCTGTCTGGACAATTAAAATAAAGCAGCCTCCCTAGCCACAGGCTAGTGCAGCTCTGAAACTGCCTGGTAAGTAATGAGAACGAGGAGGAGGAGGMGGCTGTTTTATAACCACGGCGAGTAGTAGCCAGAAGAGCTTTAGATGCACCAGTGCTCATCTGAACTGGAACTGGAGGCTGTTTCCTTATATTTAGTTTAAAAATGAGTTACACAAAATATTCTCATTTATCTGAACATGACTAAAACAAGGCATAAAATAATGTAAATTTTTCCTGAAAGTTCCTTGAGGATTGTTTAAAAATGAACATCACAAAGAATAATAGTGTATTATATGAAAGCCAGTCTATTTGTGTCAGGATCTAATTGAGGAAATTTAATTTTCTTCCCTAACTGAATTGCTGTTGATAATCTAAAGTAATTCTGTCTGGTCTGTCCAATTTAGCAAGGAAAAAAAAAAAAGGATCTTGGAGCTGTGCACAAGAATGTAGCAGATTTTTTAAAAACAGCATTTCTGAATAGAAAGACAGTAACTTATGGCAACATGACAAAAGACTTTTATTTTTTTTAATGTAAAACATGTAAATTCTTGTACCTCAGTGCACTGCCACTCCCTTTTTGAGAGAAAGAAATACATTTTTGCAAGCGGTACACCAACAGACCTTGGGAAAATTGAGTTTGGAGGAAAAAAAACCTGAATTCATTTAGTTTCTCCAATCGCTTTCCCATGTTTCAGATTTTGCACTGATAGATGGATGAGATGATTTGCTTTCGAACCAGGTGGCCCCTTCCTTCCCATCTGCTGCGTCTATTGCTGTGTCTCTGGTGAGACGCTCTGCAGAGCTGCGCAGGCATCTGCGCCCCGCGCAGCGCGCCCGGCGCGAGCGGGAACGCTCGGAGCGAGCGGGAACGCTCAGCACTAGTGGGAACGCTTGGCACTATTGGGAGCACTCGGTGGTATCGGGAGCGCTCGATGCTACGGGGAATGCTTGGCACTATTGGGAGCACTCAGCGGTATCGGGAGGGCTTGGTGCTAGCGGGAATGCTTGGCACTGTCAGGAATGCTTGGTGCTATTGGGAATGCTCTGTGTTACCAGGAACGTTCAGCACTACCGGGAGCCCGCAGTGGTATCGTGAGCACTAGGCGCTATCGGGAACGCTCCGTGCCATCAGGAACGTTCAGCACTATGGGGAACACTCGGTGAAGGGATGAGCTCCGTGGGCTGGGGGGCCTGGGCACAGGGACCCTGCATGGCACCCACGGCCACTYGGCACCGTGTGACGGCCCCACGGGGCAGCGGTGGCGTCTCCTCAGAAGCGGTTTCAGACCTCGCGAGGTCCCCTGCACACGACAGCGGCGCCGCCTGCGTCTCCCAGCCCTGCTTTGGAGAGAGGCTGTTCCCCAAAGCAGCTGGTCGGGCTTTCCTGGTCCTGCAAGGCAGAGCCTTGCTCTGCAGCTCAAACTATGAGCAGCTCTGCTGGAAAACGGCTGCCGGCTCTGAGCCGCCCTAGGCCTGCGCACACCCGCACCASAGCTGCCAGTTTCACTTTTATTTACTCCTAACTCCAGCGCCAGCTTCCTCTGCCCTCGCAAAACGCCCCCTGCTCAGCTAAGGCCCCAACGCGCGCCTCGAAAGCAGCAGTCCCCAAGTCAGCAGCAGAAAAACTCCCCGCGAACGGGGCAGATTTCGCTCTGCGGCGCCGCCGCGTCCTGCGCTGCAGCAATCAGCGCCGTGCAAGGGGGAAAAAAAGCAAAAAACATTAAAAAATGGGAAAAGGGTAAAAAGCAGCGTCTGGAGGGCGAGSAGCCGCCGCCGCCCCCGGGCCCGGAGCGCCCCCAGCCCCGCGCGGAGCCGGAGGCTCCGCGCGGGGCTGGGGGCGCTCCGGGCCCGGGGGCGGCGGCACCGTCGTGGGCGCCGCCCCGCGCGCGCTCCCGCTCCGGCCTGCGTGGCAGCCGCGCGTGCCCGCGCGCCCCCGCAGCCCCGGGACGGTGAGTGGCGCCGGGAGCGCGCGCGCGCGCGCAGCGGCCCAAGTTGCGCGCGGGACGCGGCGCCCGCTCGCTCCCGTCGCTCGCTCCTTCGTGCGGGGCCGCCCCGCGCCGCAGGTAACGGGGTGCGCGGGCCGAGCGGGGCGGCCCGGGCCGAGCGGAGCCGCCACGTGCCCGGGCTGCGGGAGGAAGGGGGCGAAACGTGCTCGGAACCGGGCAGGCCGCGCTCGCCGCYCCGGGACGGGCGGGTTGGCGCGGCCATTCCCGGCTATTCCCGGCCATTCCCGGCCCCGCGCTGCGCTCGGCCCGGGGGTTTCTCCCCTCGCGCCCCTCCGCGCACCTCCAAAACGGGAACAAACGCAGCGCTTGGGGGGGGGCGCAGCCGCGGGTTGGAGGGGGTGGATTCCCACGCGCCRCGTCCCGCGGGGTCCTGGGGAACGTGGGTGCTCTAGCCGGCCCAGCGGACGGGATGGGGTTCCCGGAGGGAATGGGGTTCCCGCAGGGAACTTGCCCGGTCCCGGGGCCCTGGCGGGAGCAGGACGAGCGTGGCCGCCCCGCGCTGTCCCTCCGCGGCGCTGGGGAACGCTGCTCGCCCGAGGCTCCCGGGTGAGGGTTCGGCTCCCGGCCTTCCTGCTGCTGCGTTCATATTTTCATGCGTCTCTTGACATAGGGGCAAAACTCTTTCCACTGCTGGTTTTCCCTTGTCAGCGCTCTCTGTCACAGGCAGGCCCTTTTAAGCAACATTGAGGAAAAAAAAAAAAGATAAAAAAGCAGAAGAGGAACTTGTCTCAGATGTGAGCGTTGCTGTCCCGTTTCCAGCTGCTTTATGATGAAAAGCAGTGGTGGGGAGGAGAGGGGCTCTTCCGTAGGGAGCCTCCCTGGGGCAGGGGGTCCTGGCCCCGCTGCAGCCGTTTCCAGCCCAGGCGGGACTTGTCGGAGCCGAATCGAGGCTTTCCTGGCACACCAGACCCCGGCCCTGCTGCTTCCTCCCGCCTCGGGAATTCTGCTTCCTCACAAATGTGTGCGTTATGCRTGTAACTTCAATAGGACTTTTAACCTATTTCTTCAGATTATTTAGCATGYATTTTGAAAGGGGAGGGAAAAAAACGTTGAGCTCAGTAAGTCAGACTCTACAGCCAAGGTAGGAATCTGACATCATTTGTAGCACCTACGTTTATGATGCTACCCTGAAGTTTTGATGTTAGTATATAGCAGTAATGCACATATTGAAAATATTGGCTCTTTCTGTTGCGCCTTGTAGTGGAGGCCACGCRCAGCAAGCAGTGGGAAATGCTGAGGTTTATCTTGCACGATGCTTTTGGCCTTCGTTCAGATCTGGCTGTGTCTGAAAATCTGTTTAAATGCCTTTAAAAACTTTCTTACGTGCTGAAAGATCTGTGAATAATTATTTACTCGGAGTAAAGTAGGTATTTTTGGTATGGGGATGGGAGCTGACATAGCGGAATTTCCGTGTCCACAGCTCCTAGCTGTGGGACGGGATGGTGCTCAGGGGTTCACGCGGGAAGGGGAGCCGGGCGCGCTCGGGTCTTGTGCCGCCGGCACCTCCGCTCCCAATATAAGGGCAGCGAATTGCACGTGTGTTGACAGGAGAGGGGGAAACACTGATGGAGATGCCAAAAAAAAAAAAAAAAAAAARGTGATAGAACTGGGCATCCTTCTACCCTGGGCTTGATTTTGCCATTTTCCTAGGTGAAAGCCCGGTTGGGATGCTCAGTGTTACAGAACCAGATTTAATAGCTGGACTTTGTGGTTTTAACTTCAGCTCTTCTAATATACTTTTCTTAGATGCTTTCCTTATAGAAGAGAGAAGTCCTGGTATTCATAAAGGTTGCCTTTATTTTTGGATAATGAGAAAAATAAATAAATGGAACCTCATTTTAGAAGTTGTTTGCTGTTCTTCCGGATTCCTTTAGTCCAGGAGTATTTGGTATTAYTGACGTTCAAGACTCCTCTAGATGGAGAGAGCAGCCATGATGCTGTGCGGGCTTGGAGCACGGAATCCAGGGAGCTGTGGACATCCACCCTTCTCGAACACAAACTCCTGTTGTTCCTTGGAAAACAACCAGTTTCACCTTTTATGCAGTGACTGGCTGGGCACAGGCTGTCCCCTGTACCAGGGGATGAGCAGTGACCACCCTGAGATGCCATCAGAGGTGGGAAGCACCTGCAGATCTTAAGAAACTGCTTTGAGTCGCTGCTCTCAGCATGTGGGGACGTTTGGCCACTGCTTGTGGGAAAACCGATGGGTTTTGGCAGGGAGGGGCCTCCTTAGGGTGCTGGGAACTCAAGGGACAGAGCCGGTGAAAAATGCGCCGATGCGCGGTATGACTTGGGTAAAGTTAGTGGTGTTGGTGAAACCAGCTCATTTAGAGATAGCAGTGACATATATGCGCATTAAATAGAGTATATATCTGTAAAAACAGATAGATAGATTGAGGTATATGTGTGTTTTAGAGGAGTAAGTCCAAGGGACTCTGTCCATTGCCACGTAAACATGGTGGGATAACTAGGATTTGTCTGAATGAGGTGACATTCTGCTCCTCCTTGCCAGACCGAGAGCTTTCTTGATCCAGTCAGCCATTTGTTTGATGTCCTGGTGTTTGGAGATAAGTGCTCTSGGAATGATCTAGGAGTCCGGCATTACTGCCTTTAAATTGCCTTTTCTCTCTCCTTCCCTACCCACCAGCAACTTTCTTGCAGTTTGGAAAGCGGATACTGCGAATTCCTGCTACTGAAAAACCATCCATGTTTGCAGCAATACCCTTCAGCACCAAAGGCCTCGATAATAGGGTCTTTGGCATRGAAATGGTTTGCTGCTCTGCTGCTGGCTAGCAGACCAGCGAGGCAGTGGAGTATTTAAGAAAAATATTGAGTAAGCAATACTTAAGTAAGTCTGTRCATCACTACGCTGAATACTTATTTTTCAAGTGGCCTTTCCTAGTATTAAATCATATGAAAATTAAAGGTTATCCGAAGTGGACAAAGTAAAACTCTGGTCCTGGAGAGCCTGAGGTCTTCAGGATAGTTCCTGCTGTTATTAAGCCACATTAGCTCTTGTGGTTATAATACTCGGCCTTTCATCTGCAAAGTTTACAGTGCCAACGCACGCAAGCCCTTAGCAGGTTCCTTTGCTTTTCATCGGTAGATCTGTAGGTGCCCTGAAAGATAAGGAGGGTTTATCTGGAGGCGAGGATGGGCGCGCTGGGAAGGGCTGACAGTCGCAGCGCCGTGTGGCCGATGGTCCGGCCCAGTGCTGGTGGTTTCTGCGACCTGCTCCRCTTGCCCCGTGCCAGGGCTGGCCCCAAACTTCAATGTGCATGTCCATTAGGTTAGACGGGTGCAGCATCTGCCTCTGAAAATTGCCGTCTTCAAAGACACCCAGACTGCAGAAAGCTGGTGCAGCTCATTTATTTATTTATTAGCATGCAAGTTCTTACAGCATTTAAAAGGCTAGCTTTTCTTGAGCATATTGAGATTACTGCTGTGTGTCTGAACTCCACAGGATATTGTGTCTTCCAGAAGATGTTGGAAAGGTCCCTGAAGGGTTTTGTTCCTGGCGCGCAGCTGGAAGCCAGGTTGGTCTTTGGTGAGCGGGACGGAGGGCGGCGCGGGGGCCGCGCGCCCGTCTGCACCCGGTGCGCTCGGCTCTGCTCGAAGGACAGAACCACGGGGAGATATCTTTAATAGTGGCTCAACTGCAGTGGTCTGCAAAGCTAGCAAATCTCTACCTGGATGCATAGGTCTTTTTTCTTTCTAGGGTTGTTCTTATATGCATATTGGATTGGGCCAGGATTACTTAAAATTGGAACCCATGCAGAGTATTGAAGTGTCAGGGCTTGCTGCAAGGGTCGTAGCTCAGCGAAGCCTCTGGAGTTCTCTGCATTTTAACACATTTCACAGTGTTTCAGAAACAAACTATTCCTATTTTTTTTGTAAAAATAAAGTTCAGTGTTATTTAGCTGCCAGTGTGCTTTGATTTCTCGCATGGCATGATGCAGTAAAGTGGACACTTAATGTTTTAGGTCCTTCTGATGCCACACGTTGCGGGCGAAGTGTTTGGTGCCGCGCGGAGCTGCTGCGGTGCCTGCCCCGTGGGTGCCGGCGCGAGCAGCTGTCTGGCGCAGGTGGGGAGGAAAGAACTTCCCTCAGCCCCCTGCTCTAAAAAGGTTTCCATACAAAACCAGTAGTAACGTAATACAGCCTTTTAGTCAAATTTGAGTTTCCTGTTACACGTTCAAGTGAACTGACAACAGGCCGTTTGAAATCAAATAGTGTAAATGAATGTGACTCTAGGAATTTATACTCCACAGCACTGTTGAAAACTCTCTATTTTTTATTTGCAAGTCTGAATGCTTATTTGATARATTTCTGCCTTTTAAAAGAAATAGGTTTAGAATTACAGGATATAAAAATAATAATTGCTATTTAATATTGGCCATATCAGGTTAGGGCAGCCTGTTCCTCTGCCAGCGTGTAACGCCTGCTTCGTTAGAGACATTGAGGTAGTTGCAAATCTGGATTTGTTTCTTTGCCCCTGTGATGTGCAGATATTTTGGAGTCAGAATGCGGTGGTGTTGCCTGTCCTGCTCTGTATTGTGCAACGAGATCAGATAACATGGAAACGAGCAAGGAAGCATGTGGCAAACCCACATTTTTCAGACAGTCAAAACACAACGAAGTTCCAAAAAGAACAGATATGAAAGGCCTCAAATGTTGTGGTTGTTTTGCTTTGTTTTGTTAAAACTGAATATTTTCTGCAGAGTTCTGAAGATGATAGAAATGGAAAAAGTGTGTTGTGGAACCTGCCCTAACTTGAAATGCTGCTTCAAAGGTAAAACCTAGTCTGTAGTTASAGCGTTCCTGAATGCCAGACCTAGCTTTCCCAAAAGGCAGCAGATATATATAATATATATATATATAATATGCACACACCTGCCATGTATAAAAATCTATTTTATGTATTTATATGCTTACAAATGCATATAAAAACGCGGCCGTTGCTGCRGCTGGTGCAGCGGGGCTCGCCGTGGGGCTGCCCGGTCGTTCTGCACCCGCTGCTGCGCTCTGCATGGAGCGCTCCCGTCGCTGCTGCCCCC